TTTTTTTGGTTGCAGCCGTCGTTGTTTGGCGGGTCCGGGCTGGGGATTCGAACCCGCCACCTTAGGTGTACGTGGCTGGCGCCTTAGCCGGTTAAGCTATAGGTGCCGAGCCGCCAGAATTGTTTAAAAGCAAGAAACGACTACACACTCTTAGGTGGCATGTAGCAAAATGTCTTTAATTTCTACTTCCTTTTATTGGGAGCTAGTCATGTATACCACATTGATCGATAATCCCAACATCCTCATTTCTTATCTTAAACTATAGAAAAGAAAGAAAGTAATCCTAGCATCCTCATTTCTTATCTTAAACTATAGAAAAGAAAGAAAGTAATCCTAGCATCCTCATCTCTTATCTTAAACTATAGAAAAGAAAGAAAGAAAGTCCAGGAATGTGAGATAGCCATCATAAGATTAGCCTAAAGAAAGAAAGTCAGGGAAAGTAAGACAACCACCTTAAGCTAGCCTCAGGCTATTCCTCTTGGAAGATCTAGAAGAACAATTCATTATCTGACTTCTATTGTTGAAGTTAAAGGTTACGATAAACAGAGGAGTAAAACCTTTCTCTTCTATGTACTCAATTAAATTTCCAAGAAACTGGCTTCATGACTGTTTTCTTATGGCTTTGGAGACCCTGCAGTTACAATGGAGTATTTTACTCGACATCATTACGATGGAGTTTCTTTTTACTCACATCAACCTTTGAGTCATGTCTTCTGCACAGATGGGCCGTTTCAACCCTTATCTGACAGGCTGACTTGACTGCACAGTCGGGGTTACCTGCAAGAGGTTTTTACACCTGGCTTGCAGGCCCCCACCGTGTTTTCCCAGGTCGCTTAGGGCCTCGACAAAAGCACATAATAATCACAAGTCTTTTCGCTCAGTTCTGGAATTAAAAGAGCACATTTCATTTAAATTTTGTGGAGGTTTACCCCACACTACTAAATATAGAAAAATTAGTCAGGTGTTACGGCAAGTTCCTGTAGTCCCAACTATTCTGGACCCTGAGACGAGGATTGTCTCAATCCAGGAGTTTGAAGTTGCTGTGAACTAGACTGATGCCATGGCACTAGCCTGGAAAACAGAGTGAGATGCTGTCTCAACAAAAAAAAGAAAGAAAGAAAAAAGAAAAAGAAGAACAAAATCAAAGGACTCACACGTCCCAATTTCAAAATTTACCATGCAGCTATAATAATCAAAATAGTGAGGTATTGGCATAAGGAGAGACATCAGACCAGTGGAATAAAGTTGAGAGTTCAGAAATAAACCCATACATCTATGGCCAATTAATTTTTGACAACAATGCCACATTCGCCCAATGGGGAAGAACAATCTCTTCAACAACTGGTGCTGAGACAACTGGATATTTACATGCAAAAGAATACACTGGCTCGGCGCCTGTGGCTCAAGTGGCTAAGGCGCCAGCCACATACACCTAAGGTGGCGGGTTCAAATCCAGCCCGGGCCCGC